TGATTATCCTAATATTACACTAGAGATAATATCTATAATATAACTGTATGTAATAATCTATCTATTTACAGACAGTTCAGTTTGTACAGGGAATATTTGTAGAGAAATATGATCCTACTATAGAGGACAGTTATAGAAAGGTAAAATCACTGCTATAACTCATTTACATAATCCTCATTTGCATAATCCTCATTAACATTATTCTTGTTATTGTAAACATCAAACAACATAGTGCAACAAGGTTCAGGACAAGACCCAATTGTTGTGCATTTGAAAGATCAATTGATGGTTGAATTGCACCAATCACAGACATTGAGCTCTTTCTATATAAATATAACTGGTATAGCCAATATTGAGACCATTTTAATGAGCTCAATCCAATCAACATGTTAATGCCCATATTATTTATGTAATGTTGTTTTTTTTATCTAACAGCAAGTAGAAGTAGATGGCTGTCAATGCATGTTAGAAATATTAGATACAGCTGGAACTGTAAGTATAGAGAGCAAGATTTAAATTTAACAATTCTAAGTCCTACCTTTCTAAATAAGAACACAGACCAGACATTATTATCATATTTACATTACTTTCTCTTCATCACTGCTAACTTCACATTGTTTGAGACTTAGTGAATAGAAAACTTGTTCTGAGTTCTCCAAATGACATACGGTCGTGTGTTGTTGATACATGTTTCTGTTATAAAAACACATGACCAGGAGCTATATGCTTGAAAACTCTACTTCAAATTATTATAGTCTTCCACAAATACCGCCATTTCACCAATCTGGATAGAAACATGGGATATAAAACTCTATTTTAATTTATTTCCAGGAACAATTTACTGCTATGAGAGATCTGTATATGAAAAATGGTCAAGGATTTTTATTGGTTTATTCTATTACTGCTCAATCAACTTGGAACGATCTCCAGGATCTTCGAGAACAAATTCTCAGAGTTAAGGACACAGATGACGTAAGTTGATTTCTCTTTTAAATCATTATTTCTCAGGCATCAGGGGGTGAAATAGACGTCTGATAGAAAATTGGAATGGTGTAAATTTATGCTTTGAGTGTCCATAATACACATAGGCCATACAAAATAAATA